CCAAGGAGCGGATGGTGGATTCCAACTGCCGACCTTTTGGTCAGCAGCCAAGCTGTTAACCACTGCACTACCAGGGCTCCAATATATATATATTATTCTAATATACATATTCGAGTAAATGTATGAGTAAATATCTTGAGTACCCTACACACTTTGATGTTGAAGTCACATTGTCAATCTCTGACTTCTTATTCCTATGGATACTCTTAATCTATGGCCTCTTACTCTTGACAGATCTTGGTCTCAACAACAAATTCATTGGGGAAGTGTCTAATCTTCCAACACTTATCAACGGCGCGTTTATTGAAACCTGTAAGGAAATGCACAAGAAAGTTACTTTTGGGTTCTTTGTGTAAATTGAAACATATAAAGATTTACTTCCCACTTTCTCCCACACTCTATCCCCCTCTCTTACTCAGTCCCAATAACATGGGGTAAACTAAGAAATAAATTGCCTACCTAGCAAGAGGTCTCTGCGACGAAGGCGGAAGGCTTTGCGGTTGTTGCAAAGTTGGTAAATAAAGATGCCAAGATTACTAACATCACGAATCTCCTCCAGAGCAACCAGGTCTTCACGAATCACATAAGTGTGAGGCAAATATTTGCCACTCTAAAATTAAAAAAAAAAAAAGATTGAAATGAGAAATTCTTAAAGACACTTCATTTTTATTGTTGTAGTTTAGATGAAGTTTACATTTCAAGTTAGTCTCCCATACAAAAATTTATACATACATTGTTATGTGACCGTAATTGCTCTCCCCATACTGTGACAGCACACAGCCTCCTTTTCACCCCTGATTCCCCATGTCCATTCAATCAGCTCCAAACCCTCTCTGCCTTCCCATCTTACCTCCGGACAGAAGCTGCCCATTTAGTCTCTAGTATCTACTTGAGCTAAGAGGCACACTCCTCACAAGTATCCCTTTATGTCCACAGTCCAGTCCAATCCCTGTCTGAAGAGTTGCTCTAGGAAATTGTTTTAGTTCTGGGCTGATAGAGAATCCAGAGGCCATACTTTCTGGGGTTCCTCTAGTCTCAGTCAGACCATTAAATCTGGTCATCTTACTAGAATTTGAGTTCTGCACCCCACCTTTCTCCTGCTCCATCCGGGACTCTCTGTTGCGATCCCTGTCAGGGCAGTCATTGGTGGTAGCCAGGCACCGTCTAGTTCTTCTGGTCTCAGGCTGATGAAGTCTCTGGTTCCTGTGGCCCTTTCTGTTTCATGGGCTAATACTTTCCTTGTGTCTTTGGTGTTCTTCATTCTCCTTTACTCCAGGTGTTTGGGACCAACTGATGCATCTTAGATGGCCAATTGCAAGCTTTTAAGACCCCAGACACCACTTACTGAAGTAGGATGCAGAATATTTTCTTAATAAGCTTTGTTATGCCAATTGACCTAGATGTCCCCTGAAAGCATGGTCCCCAGATCCCTACCCCTGCTACTCTGTTCCTCAAACTATTTGATTGTATTCAGGAAACTCCTTAGCTTCGGTTTAGTCCAGTTGTGCTGACTTCCCCTGTAGTGTGTGCTGTACTTCCCTTCACCTAAGGTAAAACTTGTCTACTGCCTAGTGAATAACACTCATCCTCCCTCCCCACCCTCGTAACCATCAAAGAACGTTGTCTTCTGTGTTTAAACCTTTTCTTGAGTTCTTATAATAGTGGTCTGTGACTGACTAAATTCACTCAGCATAATGCCCTCCAGATTCCTCCATGTTATGTTTCAGGGCTTCATCATTGTTCTTTACCGTTGCATAGCAGTCCATTGTGTGGATATACCATTATTTGTTTATCCATTCATCCGCTGATGGGCACCTAGGTTTTTTCCCTCTTTTTGTTATTGTGAACAGTGTTGCAATGAACATGGGTGTGCATATATCAATTCGTGTGCCAGCTCTTATTTCTCTAGGATATATTCCAAGGAGCGCGATTTCTGGGTAGTATGGTACTTCTATTTCTAGCTTTTTAAGGCAGCGACAAATCAATTTCCAAAGTGACTGTACCATTGTACATTCCCACCAACAGTTTATAAGTATTCCAGTCTCTCCACAACCTCTCCAGCATTTATTAGTGTTTTTTGGATTAATGCTAACCTTGTTAGGGTAAGATGATATCTCTTTGTAGTTTTGATCTGCATTTCTCTAATGGCTAATGATCGTGAGCATTTCTTCATATTAATATCTTCTTTGGCAAAGTGCCTGTTCATATCACTTGCACACTTTCTAATTGGGTTATTCGTCTTTTTGTTGTTGAGGTTTTGCAGTATCTTGTAGATTTTGGAGATTAGACACTGATCATACTTGTCCTAGCCAAAAATTTTTTGCCAGTCTGTAGGTTGTCTTTTTACTCTTTTGGTGAAGTCTTTTGATGAGCATAAGAGTTTGATTTTTAGAATCTCCCAGTTATCTAGTCTCTCTTCTAGTGGTTGTGCATTGTTACTTATGGTTCGTATGTGTTTATGCCATTATTATGGCTCCTAGCATTGTCCCTAGTTTTTCTTCCATGATCTTTATCGTTTTCTATTTTATATTTAAGTCTTTGATCCATTTTGAGTTAGTTTTTGTGCATGGTGTGATGTATGGGTCTTCTTTCATTTTTTTGCAGATGGATATCCAGTTATGCCAGAACCATTTGTTAAAGAGACTGTCCTTTCCCCAATTAAC